TACATATTTTTATTCATGTAAATTAATTAGAAATTATTAACATAAGAAGATTAGTTAAAAATATCTGACATGCCCTTATAAGTTAAGAATTAAAAAGAAGAATCCAAGCAATCCATTGATTTATATGGAAGATTAATAAATTGTCTTTAGAAGGTACATAAAGTTTGAGTACTTATTCATATTGGATAAAGGCAATAGAAACTTGAAAAAGAAAAATGAATAATGCACCACATACTACAACAACTACATCAAGTGCAGTGGTGCTAAGTGCTGATATATAAATACATTTATTAACCTAATCTGCTTCGTTAAGATCTGGACAAGTCGGGTTGCAAGGATAGCCACAGTTGTCTACTTTATTATAATAATTTCTTTCGTAAAACCAGTCTCCAACTGCCTTTGCAATTGTCTGCACAAAACATTTATAATCAATTTCGTATAAGAATATATCAATATGTATTTAATTATAATCAAATAAAGAAATCAGACGATAAATGATGTACCGTATTATCAATAATAGGTGAATTATCAAGCATCCATGTATCTTCACCGCCAGCTTGGCAGTGAGCGTAGCATGAATCTAAAAACAGTCCATGTTGTTTGTTGTCCATAACTGGTTTCAGTGCGTTAAGGACTTGGTATCTAAAGCTCTGAATAACGTTCATCTGATTCTGTGAGCATGTCCTGAAGTCGAACTTACAAGTATCCCATGCCCTAAGCTTATCCGCAGGACCCGGTGCTAAAATGTTCTTGATCTGATCCATTCACGCATTTAGAGATTTTCATATGTAGATAGACATATATAGAAACATATATATATATATATATGAACATCAAATGATATTCATCGTATTAATCTAACCTGCCAGGAATCATAGGCTGCGCTTATAATAAAGATTGGAGTGTGCATGTGCGGAATCACGTATTGTGGGAAGAAACACTGCACATTTAGAACCCTACTTAGTTGTATTTCAAATATTTACAACTCCAAACAATTCATAGATATATGTATACATACCAACTCAGGTGGGTTTGTTCTTGAAGTGCATGATTGAGGTAAGTTCTTCACAGATCCCTACACACAAAAAAAACCATTTTACTACTTAAAATGAAAAAAACTAAATGAAAGAAAAAAATAAAGAAAGCATGATAGCAAGAAATAATACATGTAGAGACACCACTTGCTTGTAGAAAGATTCAACATATGACCCTCCAGAGATATCCTTCCTGGTAACAAACAACTCAAATATCAAATTAATACAATATTATATATATACATGCATGCATAATCGTAACATTTATTTATTTATAAAAGTACGCAATAATTATATTTTTAAAACTTAAAATTACTTTACCCATGAATAAAATAGCCAGCATCAGCTACACATTTAACTTTGGTGGTGGATGGGAGATGGTCTCTGAAATCATCACAGTGCAAAATAGTTGCCAATCCGCCAGCAGAACAACCTGTGAGAATTGCCTGTCACAATACATACACTAGTGTTATATAATAACACTACAAATGTAATTAATTATAAGTTGCTCTAGAAGCATAGTCATACAAAATAAATTAAAATTTACTTACATTTTCTGCATTCTTCATTCCCTTTTCTAGAAGTTCATCCATTACAGCATGCCAAATTCTTGCGCCTCTGAAGTGAAGCCTATTAATCTTATCATCATATATTAGTCTTGATTAGTACATAAACATAAGATAATATACTCAAACTCTTTTCATCTTATGTACATATATATATAAATATAACAAATAAAAAGTCTTACAGGATCAACAGCTTCCACGTCACCAGTGAAGGAGGCGCCATCACAATACCTAACCTTCACTCTATTCCAATTGGAGAAGTCTGCAAATTAAAGTCAAATTCTAGCTAATTAAAACTATACTTATTTTTTGTATATACCAAGTGTGTATATATATATATAAATAGATTAATGTATATATACCTGGATTAGTGCGATTCTGGGGACCCAGTATACCAGAGAAGCCAAATTCCTTCCGCATTAATGTCGATGAACCCCTATCACAACCTTTGCGATCAATGCAATTTGCAATATCTTGGCACCACCCTCCACCCTAACCAACCCAGCAAAAAATCAGAAAAAATATAATGTTTTAATATAATTTTTTAACATGTAAATAGTATTTTTCAGATGGTTCAACTTTATATGATTTAATATAATTTTATATACTTCAAAATTTAAATTAGTTATAGATGTACTTATGTTTAAAAGTATTATATAAAAAATATGTGAACTGTTTCTTTTTGTGTTTTATTTTGGTGTATAATGTGAAGTTACATACATATTATTGTTAGTATAAGTAATATTTGATGGCAAATAAGATGAAGATACCTCAATTAGAACCATCCAATTATTAATTCCTGAACCAGAGCCTTTATCCCAGTGGAAAGCTGGAGCAGTGCCATCCAAGCAGACTGCAATTGGAACATTAAATAAACTTCATTGTTAATTATTAATTATATGTTAATAATATAGAAAAATAAAATTAATTAAGCCCAAGAAAAAACTCACCAGCTCCTTTGGCTACTGCACTTTCCAAATAAGTAATTCCTACACCTACACCTTCTGTTGTTATCGACAACAGTGCACAAACCACTATATTTATGATCCATCGCCGAAGTCTTTCCATACCTATCTAAAATAATTACAAGCAGATATATTTATTTATAAGTATATAAATATGTAGATGTTGTCTGGGTTTTTTTTTTGTATTTTTGAAAGTTAAAGCAGTGAATTTGTGCTTTTATACAAGGCAATTGGTATAATATTAGCATTCATTGATGCGTTAAGTCAGCAAATGATTGGCAGAGAGACATTCCTTATTTTAGTTCATTTCCTAATTTTAAACTAGTAAAAAAATTTTTTAATCAGAAAACTATTTTGATTTCATCAAAAAATACCGTAGAAAAAGTCAATCTAAAAGTTCATGTTGTGTTGGGGTCTCATTTGACTAAGCCCACATTTAATAATAAGCATGTAATTAACTCAGCCAATATACTACTGCAACAATCATTAAGAGTGTGATACCCAAACTAATTAATGGTGGCTGGATGTCAGGCTAAACAAGAAAAGGAGTTCAGTTCAAATGTTCGACAAACACAACTTTGGCACAAAGACAAGAGCTATACATACGTTGGAGGTTTCGTGGCTTAGGGAACTCGATAAAAATTTAATTTCTCATGAGTTAATTAATCTTTAACTCTTCTTGATGATGTTTCTTGTAAAGGTAAAATCACTTTTTAAGAAATGGTTAGAGTTGGAAAACATTAGTTTGAACTCACAAGTGTTTTGTGAGGGTAAGAGCATGGATAGTATAAGAGCAAGTGATGTTTTTATTTAGTTTATGAGTACTAATTTGAGATTAAGATATTACAAAGTTACATCAGATAGAGACTCCCACTTTACTTCTAGATTTTGGAAAAGTCTTCAACAAACCTAGGCACAACATTGCCTTTTAGCACAAAATTCCACCATATGATGGATGGGAAATTAGAAAGAACAATTCAGACCTAAGAAGAAATGTTATAGGCTTGTGTAATACAGATGAGAGGAAAATTGGATGATCATTTACCCCTGATGGAGTTCATATACAGTAATAGTTATTAGACCAGCATTGGTATTAATAGTTATTAGACCAGCATTGGTATGACACCATATGACACCTTATATGGCGAACCTTGTAGATCTCTGATATGTTGAAAAGAAATTGTGTATAGAAAATTAGTTGGTCCAGACTCATGAAGAACCTCTAGACTGCCCAAAATAGATAAAAGAATTATGTAGACAGTAGAATGAGGGATCTAGAGTTCAAGACAGGAGACAACATATTCCTAAATGTGTCACCGATTAAGGGTGTCATGAGATTTAGAAAGAAGGAAAAATTAATCTGTTGTCATATTGGACCCTTTAAAATACTAGCAAGAGTGGGAACCTTCAGTTCCAAGCTAGCGTTGTCAATAGAGTTAGCTAACATCCATGATGTGTCCACATGTCAATGCTCTGCAAATATCATCTTGATCCATCTCATATACTACAGTGTGAAGTCCTATCAATTGAAAAGAACCCATCCTATCAGGAGATACTTGTAAGCATATTGGATCATAAAAAGAAAGTGCAGAGAAGTAAAACGATTTCATTAGTCAAAGTGCTATAGAAGAACCACTTCCAAGAAAAAACAAATTGGGAACTTGAAGATCAAATGACTTCATTTGTTTGGAGGTTTTATAATAATTTAGGAGAATAATTCTTTTAAAGGCGGAGAATTTATAACACCGTATCTATCACTGTGCTTAATTTATTTAGAAAATTCTTTTTATTTGAGTATTTAGGCCACCTTGAACTCATTTAATTTGCTCCGTAAATTATTATCGTAATTCGTGAAGTATGCTGATTTTTATTTATTTTAATTTTATTTAATCTTATTTAATTACAGTTAATTTTAGTTTAGTTTATTTTATTTTAGTCTAATTATTTTATTTTTTAAAAAATAAATTTTGAAAAAATAGAAAAACGGGAGAAAATCCTGCAGGAAAAGGGTTCCCTTGCGCAGGCACTCGTGCGCATAGCACGCACGTCCCATCCCCGTGTGTGGTGCGGGGCCAACTCGCGGCATCTTGTCACGCACAGGTGGGCTGTCCGTGCGTAACCTCGAGTGCAGACAGGCGCCGCACACTGTGCGCGCGCCGTCCTTGCAGTAGGCCTGCGCGAAAAGGCCCCTGTGCGCCTTTGGCCTATGCATGCGGAATCCAACGCACCAAGGTCCTACACGCACTGCAGGGTGGGCCATGCGCCTGCAGGCTAGCCTATAGCACGCTGGGCAGGCCACTGCTACCTCGGGTAGTGTGTCACTGCCCACCTCGAGCGACGTGATGCCGCCACAAGTGAAGGGATCTTCCTCTTTTATTTTTCGTGCCGAGCATCTTTTTTCTCTCTCTTCACCGATTTTTGTCACTTGGTGCAAATCCAACGGCTCTCAATTTCTATAAATAGGGGCCTTTCTTTTCTATTTTTCCTATACTTTCATTCTTCTACCTTTCAAGAATTACAGAGAGAGAGAGAAATTAATCTGGAGAGAGAAGAAAAGGAAGAAAAACATAACGATGTAGAAGAAATTATCAAAGTTTTGATAAGAAATCTAGTATTCTTTAAATGCCTTAAGGGATATTTTTAGACAAAAAAAAAAGATTAAATTGATAATTTGTGATTT